AAAAAAAAAAAAAAAAAAAAAAAAAAAAAAAAAAAGTTTAACCATTCTTTGAGGGAAGAAGGAAGGGAGGGGATCCACAAGAGCTCAGGCCCTATTCCCAGTCCTGTACCTGTTCTCACTGTTTTACAAACCTGGAAGTGCTGCACTTTTCCCACACCTTAGTTTGTTTCACATACTTAGTTACACTGGCAACCCTGTAGCATAAGCTAGGTGGTACTTACGTTTCACACTAAATTCCTGGAGTTTAATACTAATCCTGATGTTTGACACATAAAACTATATGAGTTTAAATGATCATTTATTTACCAACATGTTCTTAGACACTCCTCAGCATATGACAACAGCTTATCCTCAAAAGAATAACTTATATTATTAAATCAGCAAAGCATTTATTTTAATAGCAGAGTATGTCCTGAGAGCTTTCTTTTCTAAGCACTGACCCTGCCCAGCCTATATTTATCTATATTAAAAAAGCGTTAATAACTATGTATCTGACTCTGCAGTGCAGAGATCCTACACAGTGTCATGCAGTGGCTGCAGAGGCCTGAGTAACTTTTTGTGAGCTTCCCATCACTATTTTCACCATTCTTCATTTTTGCCAATCCACAATCTTTAATTAGCATGATATATCTCTGTAAAGCAGAAAAGCTACAATAAGATCATACTCCATTACATGTACATATATTTCCATATCTGGATTTTCCTATTAAAATCAACTTTTAAGAGAATAAAATGGTAACCATACAGATTAAGTTATGTATAGAGGTCATTACACAGTAGTACCTATTTGCATCTGTCCAATATCTGAAGATTAAGAGTTTCAGTGTAACTTTTTATAACATCATTTAGAATACAGATGAACAGAACTGAAGCTCCAGCTTTGATGGAGTTGTTAAAAAGCCAAAATTTCTAAAATATGATACAAAAAAAAAAAAAATCTCCAAATGGTACAGATCCTTTTCACTATAAAATACAGTTTTTCATTATAGTTTAGTGTCATGTTTGATTGACAAAAGTTAAGAACATTAAAATAGTTCCTTTTTCAGGCCTTGAGACAACTATTACCACAGTGTCTTCTTTTGGGTTTTTTGGTTTTGGTTTTTTGTTTTTTTATTTTTTAAGATGCAGAATAAAACATGTCTTTAATTTCTCAGAGACCTAAATACATCCTTAAAGCCTTTGCAATGGCTTGTATTTCACCTTTGTCTGGCAGCCTCCTTTCAGCAGTACCTTAACTGAGGCTTTTCCATGGGGTAAACGATGATTGCTAGCAACTCTGCCTCTTTCACATCTTTCAAGACCTGCTTTCCTTAAAGAATGCTTGAGGTATTTCATCTTTTAAACACAGGAAACATCACTCGGACCTTCTTTGTTCTTATTTATTTTTCTGCTGAGAGGAACATAGATTTGGCTACATAAATTTTAGAAATGTCAGGTAGACACTTGGGTGTCTTTCACACAGTGGAAAGTCTTCAATTGTTTTCAGCCAGATCTGCACATAAGAAGAAGCTACACTGCAATAGGATGTAGAGCTTTGTAGTTGAGAAGTTGCCAGGACTCCATGGGTTTGAAAACAAGGGTGATACTTCATCAATCTTGCTAAAACATGTCAGAGGTACCTCAGAATCAGGTGTGGGACTAGTGAACCGTTATTGTTTAAGTCATAAAAATAAATTAACTACTCTAAAAACTTCCAGGTCCTGAAATTAAATTAATCTATTTTTCTCTTTTCCTTGGAATATTTCCAGTGTGTATATATCTCACCTCCAGACTGCAAAAGCTCAGATCTAATGTTTGTTTGTGTTTTTTAAAAAACATGTACTAGCTCGAAATTATCATGTATACATCAGATAGCACAGAAGTAACTTGCCAGCTTTTGTGATCAGAATGCTACAGGGCATGATTCCAAAGCTGATTTTTCCTTAGGTGCCATTAGAATACATTTAAGCATGATGATTTAGGCAGGTCTAACACGTTGTCACTTGACAAAATGACAATGTCCTTTTCCCTGCTCAGCTCTTTCTCTCTGCCTACACTTGCCTCATCCTCTCACTACTTACCTTGCATCAACTCTGATTTTGTTATATTCCTCTGCAGGCTGATTCAACTCTTCAACTGCCTAATCTGTCAGAAAAGTAATTCAGAAATGCAGTGGATAATTTAATTCTGGGTTACATAGTTTTATTAGAATCTGCAAAGAATCTGGATAACATCAGTAAAAGGAGGGATCATGCACATGCAGCTAAGCAACCTCAGCTCAGAGTGAGAGCCAAAGAAGAGAAGGAAGATTCTCCTCTGTTTCCAGTGGTGAGATGACTACAGCAATCTCTCCTTTAGAGCTCAGTTCTTAAGCTTTCTGCTGATACCAAAAAAAAAAGTCGGTTAAAATACACTCTAAGACTTAAAGTTTTAGAAAGCAGGCATTCTTTATTGCAGCGCTGGGTGCACGAGGGATCGCTCCACCTATTGTGCACACACAAACTTCTTAGGTTACATCTTAAATTCAGGTATCTTATACATATTCATAGAGTTGCTCAATACAAACATACATATACATAACTAAGGTGGGGTTTAGTTCAAAAAGCTCATGTCAGCAGTTCTGGAATGTTTATTTCATCTTTACGCCTGGGTATTGCCTCCTGGTGGTAATCTTCAGGGGTCTTCTGGAGGAAGGCCAGCAGACTTCCTCACTGTCAACTTTTCACCTTTCCCCAGTTAAAACATTGCCAGACCATATTTTCTGGTTGTCCTGCTTGTTAGCCCCCTTACCTAAGAAATATTGCACATCCTTCGGCCTTAGTTATTTGAGTAATAAATCATCCTTTATCTTTCGTTGCCATGGCTTTTGTTCCTCCTGTGCTTGGGCCTCAGTCTCTATTTCCATAGCTCAGTAATTGTTTAGTTAAACATACAGTTTCCTGGCTTTTAACATTTTATTCTATGTTATGATTATTGTCCATTTTCCAAAATACCCCTATATCACTACATGTATAGATTTGGTGCTCTCTTTCCAGTGATTCCATTCTCAGCTCATCTCAGCTCAGAAAGCAGTCAGTTCCTCTTATCTACCACTAATTGAATCTTGATAGCACTGAATATAACTGTTCTTGAACACTGGGGAAAATGGCAGCAAACTGATACAGTAATGCAGAAGTTTTAAAAAGCAGGAAATCTGGTCAGAATAAATCCACACGGAGCATTTTAAAAACACTCAATGCTGGCAGGACTTTTTTCTTATTGAAGTGAACATTAAATGGCATGAACAGCAGTAAAGCCACAGTAACAGTCATGAATTCTGAGAACGTCAACTACTGTGCTTAACGTATAAGTTATAAAAAGGATTCATAAGTGTCCTATTTTTTACAGCCATAATAACATTATGGATTTTAAGAAGTTATCCATGCTCACAGCTCATCTCTGTGTACCCCATTAGGCAACTGATTAGTATTATTTACTCCTGTTGCAAACTGGAAAACTACAAAAGAACTATGAACTGAAATTATCAGCCACCAATCAGAAGCAGTCCAATGCTAGCACCAGGGCTTTTAATATCATGTATTCATTAATTTTTGTGCTAGTATCAAAAAGTTAAGTGATGTGAATCATGGAAGTATTGCATTAAGAAATAGGAGACTGCTGAATCATCCAAAGTAAGTGGGCTTCTAATAGTCATGTTCACAGAGCACAGACTAACATGGGGTACTATACTGGTTGATGTGTTCTTGATCTTTCGTACAACAGGATAAAGCATAATGCAGAGTAGAATAGTCGGGGTGCTGCTACAGAACGCATGCATATTGTTGCATATATTTCTTGGAAATGTTTAGTGGTGACATCCCTATTTGATTCCAGTTGCACAAGGCTCTCATGAATTCAAAACCCCTTGCAATCATCTGAAGAGGAATATAAAAAAAAATTGTAAGGGAACAGTAGGAATAATACTTCCATAGCAAAACAAGGTTCTTTAGTGATGTTCTGGCACAGTCTTAAATTATGTAGAAGGCTGTAGAACTTTTACTTGCTATGAAAATATAGCTTTCAGTCAGCTAGCATATGTAACAGGATAGAGATCATGGCATATGATAAACAACATACACGTTGGTGACATCTTTTAAACTTGCAGCTTCTCAGGGCAACAAGAAAGCATAAAGTCTTGCCAATGTTTTGAGCTCTGATTTAAGTATATATTCAGCAGCTAGAGTTTTCCACTTGCTTGTGGAATCTAATGGTGTTTTATTTATTTCACTGAAAGCCCATCCATCACATGTTGGCAGTGTTCCTTTAAAAACAAATTTTTGAGAAAGACAGGTAACAAAAAAACTGACAATGTTATATGTTGAAAAGACATATCATTGTTTCTAATCAAACACTATAGTTATTCTGCTATGTTTTTAAACAAAAAGTGAAAACAATTTCAGAGATTTATATAACCCCTCTTA